CCCCCAAAAGTCAAGTTGACTTAGCCCCTTTTGCTAATTTTCCAATGACTTAACTCTAAATTCTCATCATGTGAAAAGAGTCAAGTCAACATGTCTCGATATGTCAATGATGGTAAAAAGAGTCAAGTCCTATATCTTAGTAAAGGAGAGTGATATTGAAAAAATTCCAAATGCCTGTGGTATCATTGATATAAGTGTATTCTATCTGCATCATAATTTTTTTGAAAAGTTATGTGTAAATATTTTTTTGCGTTTCCTGAAAATCTTGGTTTTTGGACTAATCCCCTGCATGTTGGTGGTAGCTGCGCTTGTCTCTCCTACCGGCTCCCCCGCTTGTTTTGACGCGGTGCTCCTGTTGCAGGTGAATTGCAGACCGCCCGCTCCCCGCAGCCCACAGGTGAGCTGTGCAAGTCTGATGAAGAGGTCGAGGAGAAGATCGCCGAGCTCGAGGGTGGTGAGCAGCTGGGGCTGGTGGTGATCAAATGTTACTCGCTCAACCGCGCAGATGCTCACGAGAGATGTGACGGAGAAGGACTCGAGGATGAGCACCGTGAGATCGGTGGGCAGGAGGCGGCCGAGGACGAAGGTGGCTCCGGGCGCCAGGATGACGGGGAGCAGCAGAGGAATCCAATGCGGAAGAGGCGTGTCCGGAGCGACACAAAGGCGTACGAGTGTGTAGGATGCAAGAAGGGTTTTAGTTGTAAAAGTCTTCATGATAGGCACGTCAAAACCCACACTGGCGAGAAACTGTATAAATGTTACGTTTGCAGAAAGAGTTTTCGCCTGAAACATCACCTTAAATACCACGTCAGGACCCACACTGGCGAGAAACCGTATGAATGCGACACATGTAGCAAAAGGTTTACACGGAAACATAATCTTGAGTACCACGTAAGGACCCACACTGGCGAGAAACCATATAAATGTGACGTTTGTAACAAGGGTTTTAGTGTCAAATATAATCGTGACACGCACGTCAGGGTCCACAGCGGCGAGAAACTATTTAAATGTGATATGTGTAGCAAAAGTTTTTCGCAGAAAGGAGCCCTCGACAATCACGTTAGCAGAACCCACGCTGGCGAGAAATAATATTGTGGCATTTGTAAGAAGAGTTTTAGCACCAAATGGCACCGTGAATGCGATTTCTAAATCCACGATTGTTACGAGCCATATAGATGAAGCACCTGTACAGAGCTTTTCCGACACAGTTAAATATTGCTGCCTGAATCTCCAGGACTACATTTTTAGTATGGTTAATTATATTGTAGGAATCATTAGTTTTAATTTCTGTGAAAAGTTTCTAAATGCTTATTCATTACATTTTGTGTAATATTTTTGGTAGTTTGTACGAAATGTTATCGGATAAAATTGCAATGTCTTTAGAAAAAAATAAAACTTTTAATCTGTTCTCCTCTTTAGGCCTTTGTTGCACATGTTTTCTCCTTTGGGGCCCAGTCGCGCTGCGTGCTAGTTGTCAAAGGTAGTAACTACTCTGACTTCCGCGCGAAGCACGGGATGGCCCTAAACTCTACGGCCTTCCCTACGCTTTGCGATGAAGGTTGCCCCGAAAAGTGGGGATTGGATGAGGTCTCTACTTGTCCGGGTCTACCTTGCTTATTTATGTGTGGTATATCTAGGTCTTTTAGATTTCAAATCATTGCAGTCGTAATGTTTCCAAAAGTTTGGATCGTCAATATTATGGACGAACGTCGATCTCATTTAACAAAAATTGTATTAATCTGGCACTAAAAATAAACTGAAATTCTAACCTCCAGTTTATTGCTTAATGCCTTGAGGCGAGCGCGTGCATGGTGGTGGTAAAGCTGCCCTGGCCTCTTTACCGGCTCTCCCGCTTAATCTGACGAGGTGCTCATGTTGCAGGTGAAGAGTCCGCAACGCTGGCGGGGCCGTCCCCAACCACCCGCTCCCCTCAGGCCAGTCTGATCCCGATCTGGGAGTCGGATGTGGAGGTCGAGAAGGAGAAGATCACCGTGCTGGAGGAGGGTGAACAGCTGCGGCTAGTGGTGACCGGGTGCTACTCGCTTAACTGCGCGGAGGCCGACGAGACCTGTGACGGAGGAGGGCACGAGGTAGTGTTTTCGATCGGGCGGGTTAACGCATTTCAGCTAGCCCGACGCTTGATGGCGTTCATACCCGACCCGACCCGCCCGAAAAAGTAAGTCGGGCGAGTCGGGCAAAGGTTTTACCCGACAGAGAGGCAGCTTCCAAATCACCGGCCCCGGCTGTCCTGCCGCCCGGCCAAGCTCACAACCGTGGCCAGGATCGACCAGCAAGGGCGAGGGGTGAGGTTTCGGCAACCGGAGGCGCCTAGTGAGGCTCGGCAGCCGATGTAAGTGTCGGGCGAGCCTTACCCGACCTCATCGTGGTACGCGAGCGATGAGACAGTTGCCAGCCACACAGTTCTATCTCCTCTTGTGTCGGGCAAGCGCCGATCTCATACCCGCCCAATCGAAAACACTAGCACGAGGCCGAGCACCTCGAGGACGACGGGGGGCAGGGGGAGGAGGCAGCTGAGGACAAGGGTGGCTCCGTGGACCAGGGCGACGGGGAGCAGCAGAGGGCTCCAGTGCGCAAGACGCGTGTCCGGGGCGGCAGAAAGATGTACAAGTGTGGGGTACGTGGGGAATGCAAGAAGCGTTTTAGCTGTAAAAGTCGTCAAGATAGGCACGTCAGGACCCAAACTTGTGAGAAGCTATATGAATGCGACACGTGTAGCAAAAGGTTTCAACAGAATAGTGATCTTAAAAGGCACGTCAGAACCCACACCGGCGAGAAGCCATATGAATGTGACATTTGCAAGATGCGTTTTAACAAGAAAGATCACCTCAACAGGCACGTCAGGATCCACACTGGGGAGAAACCATACAAATGTGACACGTGTAGAAAATGTTTTTGTCAGAAAGTTACCCTTGATTGTCATGTCAGGGTCCACACCGGCGAGAAACCATTTGAGTGTGACGTTTGTAAGAAGCGATTTATCAGTTAAAATGGCATTCAATACCACATGAGAAATGCACACCGGCGAGAAACCATATAAATGCCACACGTGTTACAAACTGTTTGCACAGAAAAGTAACCTTAATACACATGGCGGGACGTAATATAACTGTGGCATTTGCGAGAATAGTTTTAGCGTAAAATTGAACTGTTATCGTGTGACGACGCACAATGGTGACAAGCCATTTGATTGTGGCATATGTTCTTATTGTTTCCGACACAAATCTTTTCTGCGTCTTCACGAGACAACGCTCCGGAAAGCTGCAGGCAGACTTTATGAGTAATGTTGCTCTGCTTAAGGTTGTACAGGACTAAAACTGAAAAAGTCGGCCAAAAAACAGCTATTTTACGTTTAAAATCTAGATGCTAATTAAATCTAGAAAAAGCTCTCTATTTCAATTCAAGAAAGTTTATTGCGGTTCTTTTAAGGTATAATATGTACAGACCTGGACATAACTGTGTGCGAAGGAGGTTTTTTAAAGTTGTGAAATTTTAAAAAACGTCTCGCTCCCACAGTCACTTTTAAGTATAGATGTACTTTGAATTAAAAGAACTGCAATAAACTAACTTAGATTGAAATAGAGAGCTTTTCGTTAATAAATTAGCATCACTGAATTTCATTTGGCGATGAAACCACTACCAAATGTGGCAATGCCATCGAGTTGGCGATGGGACATTTTCATTACCACTACAGTGGCGATGGGCCGCTCATTGCCAACCCAGTGGCAATGGGGCCATTGCCAAAAACTGGCAATGTAAAATAGTTAAACGAAAAAACAGTGAAGACGATGAATACAATCCCTAAATTATTGGCCTGTTGTTTAGTTCCAAAATCTTGGCGATTAAGTTTCATTGCCAGATTATTGGCAATGGAGTTCAAAATATTGTGGATGAAGTTCCATTGCCAAAATATTGGCAATGGAGTTTCATTGCCAAATTTGGCGATGAAGTTATTGCCAAGATTTTGGCAATGCACAAAATGCCAATAATGTGGGGATTATTTCCTATGTCTTTACTGGGTTTTCGTTTGGCTATTTCCCATTGCCAGTTTTTGGCAACAGCCTCATTGCCACCGGGTTGGCAATGAGCGGCCCATCGCCACTGTAGTAGTAGAAATGTCCCATCGCCAAACGAAGTTCATTGCCAAATATGCGCTTCATTGCCAACCCAGTGGCAATGAGGGCGTTTTCATTGCTAAGAAATGGTGATGATCATCGCCAAACAAAAAAAAACAGCGAATTCAATTTTAAACTTAAAAATAGCGGCTTTTCGACCGACTTTTCCAGTTTCAGTCCTTCGTACCTTACACAGTCTAATTAAAACTGCAATCCACTTGGGCATATTCATCCTTCTGTGTTATCTATTAGTTTCACTTGTGGTGCATGGTGACGAAAGCCTCGTCACGTAATATTGCTTTTTGTAATGTCTTCTGTGATTTTGCTAGGAAAGTTTTTTTTTCTTTAATTATATGTTTGCAATTTTTTCAGAACAAAACAAAAAAACAAAAAAAACAAACAAACTTAACAGTTTTACACTTTTCTGTATTGGTTTGTCGCCCATATATCCTTCAAAAAGACACAGAATAGTCTTAGCAACTTTCTATGCATAACAAATAAGATTTAAGTGTTCAGTTGTTATCTCTCCTTGCCATTTTTCTGAAAGTGCTAGTCAATATCAACTCAGGAAACTCAAGTATCGTTACAGTATGCCAGTTTAAACTGCAGTACCGATGGTAGTTCAAACTGTGATACCATTTGTGTACTACAGTTATAAGTGTAGTACACGACGTGTCCGACAGTTATAAGTGTAGTACACGACGTGTCCAACAGTTAAAAGTGTAGTACACGACGTGTCCGACAGTTAAAAGTGTAGTACACGACGTGTCCGACAGTTCAAAGCGTCATTTGTAGGTGTCGGACACGCGATGTCCTACACAAAGAACTGTAGTACACGTCGTGTACTACTCTTACAACTGTAGTACACAAATGGTATCACAGTTTAAACTGCAGTACAATTGGTACGACAGTTTAAACTGTGATAATGTACGACAGATGTGTTTCCAGAGAAGTTGTACAGTGCCATTCAGTGTGCTTTGTGTCTGAGTTGCAACCTAGCTTTATAAATAGAAACCTACTTTAGTTATGTGTTAGGATTCCCTGATTTGCGAGTGCCATACCTGCGCTAGTTCTCTTATTGATACGTACCACTACATTTGTTGCAAAATCACATCTGAATTTAAGCGACTAAATCTATGTTCTAATGCTTTATTTTTCGTTTCAGCGTATCTATCGAGTCGATGCGGAAACGGTGCGGTGCCGCGTGTGTCTAACGTGCTGCCGCTGCCGGGTGCGTGGGGTCTGTCTAGTGTCCGTCGTGGTGCACACGCGGTGCCGGGCGGCCGGCCCTCCGCCGCCCTGCACGCCGAGCACCCAATCAGGCCGCCCGTGGCGAAAGTAATTGCACCAACTGCAGCCGAGACCGAGCTCAAACAGCGACTCGTCTCGTCTGCTCTGTGGCTGGCGGTGACGTGGCGCTGAGTTCCGGCCTACCCAGTCGGGCGCACTTTTTTTAGCCCGCCCTTCTGCTTTTAAAAGAGCATTAAAGCGGGCTTATACAATGCAACCGCTCCAATGTCCGTCTGTCTGTCCGTCGTCAGTGTGAGAGGAAGGAGACAAGCTAGAGGTCTACAAATTTTAGGGTATCTTAGGGGTCACTCCTGGACAACGAAACGCCTGGTGCAAATGCTGGCAACCAC